AATACTGAATTTTTCTTAATTTTCTTAACATTTCTCGCCAGAGATTTGGATGTCTCACACGTTTGGCTCCCTTTTCCTCTGATTTGACAACCATTTCATTATTAATAACAATTAAAGGGATCTTCTTGTTAATTGAATCCAGGTGCCCATAACAGTCAATATTGACTCATCGATTGATTGTCCGATTATTCGTCTTATGAGGTGATTATAACTGGAGATCCCGGCGGCACCTAATCTGCACCTCTATCTCCCCATTACTACACGAAACCATTTGCTATCCTTAACTGTTTGAGTAAATTATAAATCATGAATGAATGTATTATAATTAAAATATTTATTATAATTTAGCTTGCCAAATTAATATATTTATTATCTATTTGTTATTTACAAAAATCATATATCAGTTTAATAGTTATTTATCATAATCATAAATAAAACATTTTACCTTGGTTTGTTATTTTCATTAATTTTAGTTATATTTTATAATATTGAGAAAAAATATACGAATAAAGGTTCTGATAAATAGAGAAAATCTTGTGCTTCATGAATATGACAGCCAATTGTTTCGCTCAATTCAAGGTATAAATAAGTGTTCATAAAATGTATAAATAAAATAACATTGCACCAAAATGTAACAAGGTTCTACACCAAAAAGCCTAAACTCAAATAACTAACTGACCATGGACATAATTTTAATTAAACTTGTGGAATAGACGTGTCTTGACCTAACCTAACCTATCCTAACCTAAATTAATCCAAATGACCATGGTCAGTTAGTCATTCAAGTTTAGGCCTTTTGGGTGAGTCCCGTAACAAAATCATGCCTGAATATTTTCAAAAAATTCTTATATTAATTAAAATAGTTACAATTATGATTAATAAATAAAATATTGTAATCTTAGTACATTTGAATCAGAATAGTGCCATGGCTACAACCATTATCAATACACTCAGCATTGTTATCAATATATATTTAATACCATAGAAATGTTCACAAATTTAGTAATTTTAGTAAATTTGAAAACCCTAAAAGTTAATAGATACTATTCAAATTACCTTCATANCCATAGAAATGTTCACAAATTTAGTAATTTTAGTAAATTTGAAAACCCTAAAAGTTAATAGATACTATTCAAATTACCTTCATAATTAACACTATTCAAATATGAATTTTATTAGTCATTAATATTAATGGGTGGCATAAGAAATGAATGTACCTGGATAAGAATAATTGTTTTTATGTGAGCTCAATGTATATCATACACTCATAATATCGTATCATTTCTATGGAATCATAAATCGTATAAAGTTTATCACATTTTCCATAACAACACCAAACATATCATAATACAATTGATCGACATTTTGAGTTATTATCGATTAAACAAGTTAATCAAACATTATAACAAGATTTATCAATGTTTCCAATGGAGATAATTATTGAAATGAAATTTTTATAACAATCTGATAAATTCACATAAATGTCAAGTGGTTTTTTGAATGGTCTAATTAAATTAAATTAAAACTATAATATAAGTATATTGTTAGCAATTGTTTAGTGAATTAATATGTTTTGAAATAATATTTAGCAATATTTTAATTTAAATGATGATATCTTGTGTATATAATAAATTAAAATGTTTATATGCATTTTAATATTAATGGGTGGCATAAGAAATGAATGTACCTGGACTTTAATTAGACCATTCAAAAAACCACTTGACATTTATGTGAATCGATAAGCAGTTTATCGCACATTTTCTGCGATACTACAATATATTTGAACGCCATACTATTGAAACTATTAATACTTTCAATTAAGTTTCTATTAATTTAAAAGTACAGCGTAGGTAAAACTTTAAATTTATAAGTTGTGTAAAAATGTCTACACTTTTGGATAATTTTCGTATTTGCGGTACGATTGACACGACTTAGACATGAAATCAAATTATTTCATGTTTTCGATGACATAAATGATAAAAATAATATGCTATTTGTCACAAACAATGACACCGTCTATGGATTGGGTGCTAATGGTTATGGATGTCTGGGTTTTAGTCATGACATGGATGTAAAAACACCACAAATTATACGGGAATTGTGTGGACAACGAATCCAGCAGTTTATCAATGGCTGGGACTTTGTGTTGGCTATGAATGAGGACAACCATGTGTTCTCAACCCCTGCGTTAGTATCCCCTGTCACACGATCTCTACACTGTGGTCTTCCCCAAATAAATTTTGGTCAACTAATAACACAATTAAATGACAAGAATATCGCATATATTTGTTGTGGTGTTTGGCATTCCCTGGCGCTCACGACCGATGGAAAGGTGTACGGGTGGGGCGACAATACTTTGGGACAAATAGGATGTGGGTACTTTGAAAATGATATAATGTGTTCACCAGTTTTGATACAATTTGAAAACAATCATAAAATGAAAAATATATTTTGTGGTCTCACGAGTTCATTCACAATTACTTTAAATGGTTTGGTATTTAGTTGGGGTCGTAATAGTGACCATCAATGTGGACATCAATCACCAGAAGACATTTTTATCCCCAAATTGATTCCACAGTTAAATGATATCAAATCTATTTGTTCGACAACTAAAAACAAAAATAATTTCACATGTTTTCTATCCAATAGTAATATAATTTATTTTTGTGGCAAATTTGCCGGTTTTATATTTGTATGTTATGGCGAGACTGGATTTACATTGCTTATTTTGTCCACAGATCATTCACAGAGACCTCAAACCCGAAAATATATTAATTTCTGAAAATGTAAGGAACGGTAGATTTATTAAGTTATGTGATTTTGGGTTGGCTGTCGAGCACCAGAAGGTATCTCAAAGTCACTCCAGAAATGTGGGAACTTTTATATATATGGCCCCAGAATTGGGTCAATCAAAGTATACGACAAAAGCAGACATTTATAGTTTGGGAATACTTTCGATGGAATTGTTTGATATTATATTAGAGTAAGTATTGAATAGAAATAGTAATTGTATTTATAATTTAATTTTTAAAACGTTAATAATTTTTTTAGTGGAAGTGAACTGGTTAAATATACAAACACTTCACTACACGAAAGCATTAAAAATATACTAGGTGTTTTTAATTCAATGATTAACTACGGGTCATACCTTAGACCTGAGTGCACTGATATATTAAATAAAAATACATGGTCACTTAACAATGATATTACTGACTCAAATATTAATGCATTTAATAAATTCATAGCTCAACACAATTCCGTCGATTATTTGTTTTATAAAAACATTATAACATATAAATTAAAAATGGACATAATAAGCAATGTAAATCCAGTCTCACTACAACATACAAATATAAAACCGGCAACAAATACAGGTAATCTAGTTTAGCTCAACACAATTCCGACGATAAAGTATAGAATATTTTATTTGTTTTTTTGTATCATATTATTCATTGTATTAGATAACCATTTGTTTAAGATGTACTAGTTCATTATATTGAATGAAATAACTGCTCAAACTGTAAACATGAAACTATTTAAAGTATAATACTGTCCGTTAATGAGTTTAGAAATATAATAGTTACATTGGTCACTTACTCTTAGTAAGCATTACTGGATTTGTACTGACAATAGCTGGCAATGGTCTCCGGAGTGTCGGGTAATGTGTTTCCGGTTGCATATTATACTAGATAAAACATAACAAACTTATTTAACAATACTCATTACTAATATAAATAATTAACACGTGATTATAAATGTTTATATAATAATTTATTCAAAGTTAAATAAAAATTTTGTATAAAATTCACGGTTTTTTGGGTCTAATTATTTTTGGAAAGATTTTGTCTTTAATTTTTCGGTACTAATGGTTGATTTGGGGGCAGTTTCTATAAATTTTATTCACTGTTTTAATCTATTAATATCTGTTTTTAATAAATTGGTTTTATGTCAATAATTATTATCGTAGGTCTCATAAAAAATAGCTGTACCATCAGATTTGTACTCAATTTTGTGCATTTTTGATATCTTAATCATTTTATTGCTTATGATATAATTGTGTAACAATTTTTCAAAATCCAAAATATCCATTTTTCTCATATTAAATTTACAGCAATCATGTATTAATTTCAAATATTCAACCGGGTGTTCAATCCAATGTTTAGTTTTATATTTATTTGTTATCTGAGAAAAATTTCTATCATAAACATTATAGCTATGGCCGCGTTCAGGGAATAAATGTATAATATTGACATTATATCAAATAGAAATATAAATAGAAAATTTTATAACATTCCAGTTACGGTTTTGTCCACCGCACGCATCACTAAATATCACTAATTGCTTATTATCTAAACCTTGTTTACCATTAATAAAATCAATCATAAAATTTAAATAAGTACTTATACTATTGCTTCCCTTTTTGAACTCACCCTCAAATGAGTGGAATATAAATGAATCTGGGTTATTATGTATATGGAAATTACATAAATACAAATAAAGACATCGTTTGTAATAATATTCAGTATTATCAAGTATAGGAAATGACTTATTACTACTGTAGTCAAATTCAACACAAATATTATTATCGCAATTTATTAATTCAGTTTTTAATTTTTTATAACTGTCTACTCTATTTAAATGAGATTTATATTCAAGATCATTGGGATTATTAGAAAACATACTACAAGTATCACAAACATCTTTCCGCAAACTTCTAAACCCAAAATTACATTTTGTGGTAAAATATTCATTGAATTTAGTGTCAGATAAATATAAAAATGTATTTGTTTTTTGCACATAATATTTAGTAAATAATTCATATAACTTGATCATATTGAATTCACTATTACAGAAAAATAGTTTATCAGTTTTATTGCTGCGATAATGAGATGGTTTTGAAGGAATTTCTTTCAAAAAATTATTTAAAACTCCAAACATTTGATGAATTTTTGTTTTTTCGTGAATACCTCGCTTATCAATTATAATTTCATTATTCATCATTTTTGATTGAATTGTTTGAATAGGTTTTTACAAATTTGGTACAATTTTAGTAAAAACTCTTTAGAGACCTGTTTCTTATAACCTCATCATCACTAATATAATACTCCCAAACTGACCGTCCATTTGGGTTTCGTTTATTTTGAGTCCTATAAATTGAGTGCAAAAATAGTTTCCCTTTCTAGTAGGGTCACACAACAAATAGAACCTGTTCATTTTAAAATATAAATTAAAATATAATCAGTTATAAATATAGCAAGGTTAAATTTCTATTTATTGAAATTAAACTAATAGTAAATAAATATTTAAACATAAAATTACTGTTATATTCTGAGATTTTCACATAAATTGCTTCAATTTTTGTATAAATTCATAAAAAAATAATATTTAGAAAATTTTATTTTTATTATGATATAAAATATAATAAATTATATTATTAACTTGCTAAAACATAAGATTATACAATTTGTTTCAAAAGATAAGTAATTAAATAATAGTAATAAATTTATGATGAAGTAATATTTATGATTTATAAATAATTAATTTATTAACAATTACGAGTCGTACCAATTGTAATATCTAATTATTTCTAAACAATATATAAATATATAATTGAATGTAAATACACGTACTTTTGTAAGAATTTGTTTTGCATTTCAATTGAGATGTTTGTAAAACATTTCTTTTTGCAAAACTCCTTGACTTCTGTGAAAACGTTTTCCTCAATAACCTTACCTCCAGATGTTGTATAAGATTGACCCTGGCGTATATAAATTTAAATTAGCTAGTTACAAATTATTTAATTAAATACTGAATTTTTCTTAATTTTCTTAACATTTCTCGCCAGAGATTTGGATGTCTCACACGTTTGGCTCCCTTTTCCTCTGATTTGACAACCATTTCATTATTAATAACAATTAAAGGGATCTTCTT